CTATTATCCATTCATAAACTATAACATAAAATCATTTATTTGACATTAAAACTATCTAAAATTTATATAACATGAAAATCAAACAGATAACAATAATTTTTGGTTATCACCGGAAGAACCAAAAATATTATTTTATCTCGGAAAAACTAAAATAAATATTAATTTAGAAGAATTTTATATTTTAGGAGATTAAAAACAAAAAAAAAATCTAAAATCAAAGCAATATCCATATTAAATAATATATCTTTATTAAAAACAACGAAACTAATAATCACATTCTATGCAAGGCGCGAATTATTATCTAGTTAGAATAATATTCTTGTAAAATAAATTCTACACCATAATGGTAAGTTTTAAACCATTATTCGTTTTTACATATTTTTTGTTTTGGCAAACTCCATGGACCAGAATTAGTTAAGTCTACAAGAGAGAGACAGAGATTACATTTTTAATTAAAAGGAGAAAAAAAGAGGAAAATCATGTGGCCACCACCAGTTAGGCTTTTAAGACCGAAATCACCAATCAATACTATCCACCACACTAAAGCCTATATTTGATTAATATCCATCTCTCTATCTCTGAGCCACCTACCGACACTAGTCTAACATAACTGTTCAGTAACGTCCTCTTCTTTCTTTTTTACTCTTCTTTCTTTTTTACTCTTCTTTCTTCTTTATGTGACATACAACCCCCAAAAAACAAGAGTTCCATTGTTCGAACAAAAGGAGCGATCATGAAACAGATGCGAAAGAATAATCTTTCAATCTTTGCAGTCGTCTTCTCCCTTTTTCTCGTCGGGATCATCATGTACAATGACAACGTCAAATCCATTGCCTACTTAACATCATCAAACCCATTCTCTAATCTATTTGAAGACGGATGGGACGTGGAGTTGCCACCAGAGGAGTGCGATCTCTTCACTGGAAAATGGGTTTTCGACAACAAGACTCGTCCATTGTACAAAGAGGAGCAGTGCGAGTTCTTGACGGAGCAAGTGACTTGCTTAAGAAACGGAAGGAAAGATTCTCTGTTTCAGAACTGGAGATGGCAACCTAGAGACTGTTCTTTGCCCAAGTAAAACTAAATTGTTTTTTCAAAAAATGTTCTGTTCTTTTATATTTTAATATGGTTTTGATGTTATCCTGTTACTGATTTTGGTTTTGAAGATTTGAAGCGAGAGTGTTGCTAGAGAAGCTGAGGAACAAGAGGTTGATGTTTGTCGGTGACTCGCTTAACCGGAACCAATGGGAATCAATGGTTTGTTTGGTTCAATCAGTGATTCCTCCCGGTAGAAAGAACTTAAGCCAGACCGGTTCTCTGACTACTTTTCAAATCCAGGTAACGTAATAACACTTGTGTGGCTGACACTGACATTGGTGAGTAGTGACATTATTCTATTTTGGCTCTATTCAATATAGTATTTGGATTTTCTGTTCAATGACTTTTTGTTGATAATTTAAGGTGAACTACGAGAGTTAATGTAATTTATTGACAACCATACAATTTTAAGTTTGATATTTTAAATAAAACGTTACATCAAAACACTTTCACATACAAACGAATTTCCTAAAATCTATTTTTTAAAATGTTTCCATTTACAATAGATTTTGAATTACATTTTAAAATCACAGGTTATATATCAATACTATTGAATTTTAAATGATTTTATGTTTACATAATGCCAAATTCATCAATTTAAATACATATCACTCAAAATGTCACTTGACATTCCTTCCATTTCTTATTTATGGGGTTTTATTAATAAAAAAGGATTATAATGCCACGGTGGAGTTCTATTGGGCACCGTTCTTGGTGGAATCAAATTCAGACGATCCAAGAAAGCATAGTATAATCGATCGTATAATAATGGTAGAGTCCATTGAGAAGCATGGAGTCAACTGGAAAGACGTTGACTTTCTTGTCTTCAATAGTTACATCTGGTGGATGAATACTGTCTCCATAAAAGTCCTGTAAGTATAGTGAAGTACACAACTACTACTACACACACATACACTTGTATATACATGTAACGAGTTTGATGATTGAAGAATGTGATGATGAAAATTGAAAACAGACGAGGATCGTTCGATGAAGGCGATACAGAATATGATGAGATCAGACGGCCAATAGCGTACGAGAGAATGTTGAGGACATGGGGAGATTGGGTGGACTATAACATTGATCCTCTACGTACAACTGTTTTCTTCATGAGCATGTCTCCCCTACACATCAAGTAATTAATTAGTCTATCCCTAACATTTACTTAAAGCTTCATAAGTAATATTTATAATTATTTTTTCTATTATGCTTAGGAGTTCAGACTGGGGAAACCCTGGTGGTATACATTGCGCATTAGAGACAACACCGATCTTAAACAAGTCCATGGTGTTCAACGTTGGGACAAACTACAGGCTGTTTTCGGAGATAGGAACGGACTACAGACTGTTTTCATCTGTTGAAAACGTCACGCAGTCTATGAAAGTTCCTATTCATTTCCTCAACATCACTGGATTGTCCGAGTATCGTAAAGATGCACATACTTCGGTTTACACGATCAAGCAAGGCAAATTGTTGACGCAGGAGCAGCAAAATGATCCAGCAACTTATGCCGACTGTATCCACTGGTGCTTACCAGGCCTTCCTGATACTTGGAACGAGATTCTTTATACACATATCATCTCAAAATCGTCATGACCAAATGGAACCTCTCATCCTTTTTTGGTTATTTTTAAAACAATTCTTGTGATGTATATAGGATGAAAATGTAAAGGGACTTTTCGTGGGAGCCAAGTAAGCCACGTAAAGTTTTACAGTGTGCAAAAGGTCTATATGTTACACAGACAATGTTCACAAAGAATATATAGAGGAAATGCATTTGTTACCTTAGTTATAAGATTGTGACTCTTTTTATTTCTGCAGGCAAAGAATAATGAAGAATAACCAAAACAATATTTTTTTATTTAACAGATGAATAATTATGATAAATGACAAGATTAGTAGGTGTTATTATTAGCTCTATGATTGTGAAAGATGTTGGTTTAGTTGAAACTACTAACTTTTTGATTAACCAACTACGACCCAACATCCATGAATGTTCAACCATTTCTCTCTTATGTCCACAATCTTACAAGATGAAACAAACTAATGGTTCAAAGAGGAAGGCATACCTTCATGTGCTATACGTTGGGGTCACTGTTCTTCCCTTGTTCCTTCTCGGATGCTATATGTACAATGAGAAACTTAGGATTGATCAGTATCAAGAATTCAAGAAAGATAACCTACAAGAAGAACACATCACTCCACAGCCACAAAGCAAAGAAGACAAGGACAAGAAACTTGACCTGGTGCCATTAGAAGTCTGCGATGTTTTCACAGGACAATGGGTTTTGGATAACGTTACACATCCCTTGTACAAAGAAGATGAATGCGAGTTTCTCTCAGAGTGGGTGGGTTGTACAAGAAACGGGAGGCCAGACTCAAAGTACCAGAAATGGAGATGGCAACCTCGAGACTGCTCTTTACCAAGGTCAGTTCCATCTTTTTTGAGTTACCTTTTCTTCCTCTTCTTCTCTCAAATGAGACTATTTTGTCGGGTTCTAGGTTTGACGCAAAGCTGCTGCTAGAGAAACTCAGGGGAAAGAAACTAATGTTCATTGGTGACTCAATACATTATAACCAGTGGCAATCCATGGTTTGTATGGTCAAATCAGTCATTCCCTCAGACAAAAAGGCATTAAACCACACAGCACAAATGTCAATCTTCAGTATAAAGGTCTTATATGCAATAAATTATAATCATCCAACAAGCAAAAGAAATTAAAATATGATATCTCTTTTGAGTGTGTAGGAGTACAACACGACCATATCATTCTACTGGGCACCCTTCCTAGTCGAGTCCAATGCTGATCCTCCAGACAAGAGAGATGGCAAGAGGGATCCAATAATCATGCCTGGATCAATCTCAAAGCACGGTGAGAACTGGTTAGACGCAGACTTTCTCGTATTCAACACTTATATATGGTGGACCAGACATTCCAAGATCAAAGTTCTGTAAGCAAATGATGATACTATCTCTACCAAAATTGCTTTCTCCAATTCTGTCAATACTCATAAAGTTTCTGATGGCTAAAGAAAACAAGGATCTTTCACAAACGCGTCAAAAGAGAGTAACGAAGTTGGAATATATATCATGTACGAAGAAGTTCTACGGACATGGACAAGCTGGCTAGAACAAAACATTGACCCAACTCGCACGTCGGTCTTCTTCAGCAGCATGTCACCAACTCATGTCAGGTAATTACTTGTCATACAAGAAACCCTTTTGTTTCGTTTTAAACTTTCCTTTGATGACACCTTCAACAAAATGTAACAGGAGTTCAGACTGGGACATTAACGGAAAAGTAACAAGAAAGTGCGAGAAAGAGACGGAACCTATACTCGACATGTCGAAACAAATAGATGTTGGAACAAACCGTAGGCTTCAAGAAATCGCAGTGAACGTGACTAAATCCACTACAAAAGTGCATGTAACTTTCCTCAACGTGACGACCATGTCAGAGTACAGGAAAGATGCGCACACATCCTTCTACGGGTCGAGAAGTGGGAGACTTTTAACTCCGGTGCAGAAGTTGGATCCAAGAACCTTTGCTGATTGTTACCACTGGTGTCTTCCAGGTTTGCCTGATACATGGAACGAGTTGCTCTCTCTTTATATCATCCACAGAAGTTAAAATACTTCTTTTGTAAATTTTTCAAGTTGGTTTTTATAACTGAACGTACGTGCAAGTTAAGTTCTAGTGTCTTGTCTTTGCAGAGGGAATCGTTTGTCCGAGAGCAAAACTTTTTTTTTTCCGAAAGCTAAACTTGATTAGTAGATGAACAAAAGAAACACATACAAACATAGTTATGATCATCATGTGAACTAAAGATGCACTTATTACAAGAAACCAAACACATATCTACATGAACATAAGATTATTATTAAACATCCATCGAAAGCTTTAAGATTTGGTCCTGGATTTGGGTTCGTCCTCATCATCTTCCTCACCAGCCTTTCCAGTTCTTGTACCTCCTTTGCGTCCCATCTGTTGATATCCTTCAGTTCCCAACTGTTCCTTCCTCGTATTCCCTCCTCGGCTCCTCCCTTAAGCATAATATTCCACAAATATCAAATCCCATTACTATAGTCTATATACATACGTAACCATAAAACGAGTAAGTAGATAGACCTTCAGCAAGATGCTGTTGAGCTTCCAAACTTTTGCCTCCAGTACCGCCTTGCACAACGGTTTCTCCCTGCTTGGCCCTCTCGTCGAGCTGTTTCTTCTCCTGTTTAGACGCCATCGCTCTTTATTTGTAGCACAAGTTAGATAAAAACTTCAGAGAACAAAACAAATAAATCCCAAGGACTTTGGTGATGATGAATAATCGAAGAGACCGGTCCATATGTGTTTATATATTCGAATTGTTTGGGATGTCATTTTGCTAGCTTAGTGTCTCCACGTTGAGGTTTGACGTGGTGATTCAGGAACAATCGGTACGTCATACGTGTGCTCTTTCTTTGATGGTGACATGCCACGTAGGGATTGAATTAGCTGACGTATACTTGGGACTTGAAAGAGCCATGCTGCTTCACCGCGTGTTCTTTAACTATACCCCGGAAGCTGTCTTGTATGCTTATAAACAGATTATTTCAATTTATATTACATGAAATAAATATATGACAACGTGAAGAAAAACCATATATAGTCTTGAAAATGTATAAGTTTAATTTAAAACATTGGAGGTTCTTCTTCACTCAATCCGCACCATATGGTTTGGTGTATAATTTGCTGGCCAAAACTCCATTAGGTGATATTGCTATTCTTTTTTTTTACAGACTAGATTGAACTACCAGAAAAGTCTTCCCACCCCTTGATGGCAACAACTGTGAATATTAAAAATCAAGTGAAATAAAAATCTTTTAACAAAAAAGAAAGAAAGAATAACAATAAAAAAAACAACCAAACTCAATCGTCTTTAATTCCAGCATATGTGTTGTAACATATAAATTGGGGAATAACAATGAAAAACAATCAAACTCAATTTATTTTGTGAATATAAAGTAGTTCACAAAATAACACATAAATTGGGGAATACAATCCCAAATCTAGATAATGAACAATGGAGATTTTATTTTTAAAACGGAGAAAATTAAGAGGCCATGAGAAATGCCAAAACCTTTTTCTACTATGTATATATTAAATGTAACTAGAAATGAACTCAAAAGACAAAACCATTAAATAAGTTAAGTAGTCTATATTATAACCCACAAAATAAGTTCACTAGGCTATAGATATGATTTTCTTTTCTTTTTTTAGATATGAATTTATAGAAGTTGTCTATGATAACAAAATGAGTTACAATTGGGATGCTTTAGTCTCCCCCCGGTCTAGACTACTGTCATGTCTTTGAAAAAGAATACCACAAATTCATTGTTGTGGTAAAGATATTCAAAAGTGAGTTATCCCAAAAGTGTATTCTCAGAAAGCAGCAATGACAGAGATAAATGATAATTCGTGGTACGAGGAACAATCTATATGTATAACTAACTCCCTACGTCTTCGCTCTGAGTTCATCCGAAACCTCACTTTCTGTTTCAGAGTAATCTTCGACTACAATTGAAGGACAACTGTGCCCCCTCAGTTTTGACCGTCACATAGTCTTTTGTGGCATTCACATAGCTTACCAGCTAACTATCCAGTCCTTAACCTCTGCATTACATGTGGCATATATTTGATTAACTGATTGATTTATGAATGTGAATTTATTTTGTTTCAAACAGCTATATATGTCGATATTATGTCAATTTCAAAGCTGAAATTATTGTTCCTTTTAATTTTATGTTATGTTCTAGTATATATTTTAATGTAATTTTTTTTGGACAAATATTTTAATGTAATTTCTAACCGAAAAGTAAACTCTAAAATTAAACTCGTTTGCCAAGTCAAAAAAGGCCGACTCGAGAATGTGCCCCTTAGGAGGGAAGTTATTTATGTTCATATATGACGAGGTATTGTCAACTGTTCCCAATCATACACTGGACGACGCACAATACAATACTTCAATATTTACACATTTACGTATGGTATGATGTCTCAAATCTAAATGTTGTATCGAAATGTTGCTCCTCTTTCATTTTTCCAGGTATACAGAAAATCATGTCTTTCTCGCTCTATATATATTTTTGTGGTTAAAAAAGAATTTCATGTTTTAATCTAGTGGTAAAGGAGCCCCAACGAGTATCCGCCTTTAGATTCGAGTCTTGGACAATGCAAAATTTACATATAGACTGTAGTATTCGAGACCGAAGACCGTTATACAGTGAGTCACCTGGTGACCTTCGGATCCATACTCACTTCGGTATCTAGTCTGGACTCTGGACCACCACAATGGTGACAGAATACTCGGTTAGCAAAAAAAAAATTTCATCCATTTATTAAAAACTCAAACATTAAAAATAGTTTTTCCACCACAAACTAAATCTAAATGATGGAAATTACAGCTCTATTCCTTTACCATTATAAATAGTTAGACCAACTTAGATGATTTTTTGCTCTGTGATATAAATTATTTGGAGTGGTTAAAACCCTTTATAAAATATGAATATACGATGTTTTTTATCGTAAGCCCCAAAATCAGTTCCAAAAAAAGTATCCAAAACCTACAAATGGATAGCTTTTCTAGAAAGGCGTATGCCCCTAAGTCTTTTTGTTCGAGTCTATTCATCACTCGCATTCACGTAATATACTATCAAAAGTTGGGAACCATTTACGTATACATAACAAACTTTAATTATTATTCATAGACTAATTGACTTAAAGTTTGATGGTTTCTACTTCTAAATTAGTTAGCAATTAATGCAAACATATAAAAATACATACAGACCTAACTAAAATCGGTGTAGGAACGAAGACCAGATAAGACTAGTTCCGTAATTCTGCGTACTTTGAGTCTATGCATCGGCAATCATTAACGAATCCTTAGGAGGAATCCTTAGGAAAAAAAAGACATTTTGGATTATATAAGGATATTTAAGATTTTTTCTTTAAAAAAAGTGACCATTCGCGTATCACCACATGTACAATGAAAAGATTTTTAAGGATAGAATCCTTAACTGTTCATAGGATCCAATGATTATAAAATTAATATTTTCTAAAGATTCTCCCTAAAGATTTATTAAGGATTACCGTTGCATATGCTCTTATCCCCTTTCTGTCAAGAAATCTTCGTATATATGTGTATGTTTATTATATAGTTTTTATCGTATACAATTTCCTTTACAGTTTACACACTAATATAGCAATTTTATTAGTGTGTAAACCAAACTTTATTTTACTTTTTTTTTTTTTTACTTTTGTAGGAGTAAATTATTTGAGCTTCCTCTCTTGTGTTTTACTTTGTTTTAATCTTTTTTTGCCAAGGTAAACTAAACCATAGCCTGAAGTCTGAACCAACCGATTGTAATATTTAAAAACCGACTGTAATATTTAAAAACTCTGCTCACTTTAATGGAACTCACAAAATTGGCAAAAAAAACTTGATTGAACTAGTATAATACTTCATGCTCTTCATAATACATTCTTACATTCTCAGAATCATACATGACTATACTATGAGTAGGCAAGGATCGGATATCCGGAGTTTTAAAGATATTTGTGATTTGCTTCGTATGTCACGGATATCTAATTTTTTATTTGTTTTGCTTTGGTAAAATACGGATATTCGGAAAAACGAATATCCGGAAAATAAATAGATATTCGCGGATATTTACGAATATCTCATACGTTTGGATTAAGATAAATAATTTTAAAATTTTGATACAAATTTGATTTGTAAAATAATTTTTTGTATGATATAAACGATAAAAAATTAAAAGAAGTAGTGAATCGACATATTTTGTAAACTTTTTAAACTTAGTTAACGATCATAATAACACAAAACTTAAAAAAAATTATTGTCATAAATATTTTCTCTTCTATATATATAATACTTTTATATAAGTAATAATGTGAATAAAATTTGTTAAATCATATGTTAGAATGATAATAATACAAATTTATACATTTAAAACTTTATATATAATCAAGATATACATGTATTTATAAATTGCTGGATCGGATCGGATATCTGCTTCTTAAAATTTTAGTATTTGTGATTTGCTTCGATTTTAACGGGTATGAAGTTTTAGTATTTGTTTTGCTACGAAAACTTACGAATATTCGGAATTTTCGGATCGAATCGGAACGAATAACTAATCCAATTAAATTTAACGAATAAAATACCCAATCCTATGAGATTTTTTTTTTGACTAAATACATGACATGAGGTTTGACATAAATGTATACGGTATACCATTGAGTTACGAATATTTGCAGCCAATAACATAACATGCATGTATTTTTTCGTTCAGTTTAATTACATAAATAAATGGCGTGACTGACTTTCTTTGATTTGCATCAATTCAATTGCATCAATTAATGCAACCAAACATATCAGTTCATCCTCGAAAGACTTACTATACCATAATTAAGTTAATTAACTACAAAAAGTTAATTAACTACATACTTTAGTAATCAAAATCAATGACATAATTGTATTCAATGGACGGTTAGTTCAACATTCAAAGATTAATTATGGCAATATAATAAAGCCTCTTACCATATTAAAATAAATCAAACAAAAACTTATGGAGGTGAGTGATTTTGGCACCGACGTGAATTTGACTAAATTTACGAGCGAGAGATAGAGAGACTTGGTCACGAAGGTGTTAATTAGCATGTAAGAAAAAGAAATAATCGTCGTTGACCGTTGACCAAAAAACTTGGTCATATATAAAAAATATCTAATAACCGCCCACTATTTCGCTAGGTTCTTTTGCTTTCTCAGACGTACACAACAAGAAATAAATTAATCAAAAACGCAACCCTATTTCTAATCTTCTTTTTTTTCTCATTTCATTTCTATATATATGCAACTCTTCAAGAATCCGATCAAGAAAAAGAAACTCACCATGAACAGATTAGTAATCATGGCTCCGGTCCCGTCTCCGCTTGTTTATTCTCCGACATCAGTCAAAACGCCGTCGTGTTCACCTCGTTCAACACCACAACCAAAGCTGACAATGATAGCTTGTTCTCCAAGGAAGGCAGAAGAGACCACTCCATGTCCTGATTTCGACGCCGTGTTGAAAAGAAAACGACCACCTATGCTTGACCTAAAGTTGCCTCCGGCGGTTGCTTCGTGGTCTACTACGACGGTGAAGACGCCGGAGAAAGGGGATGAAGTTGTCGAAGAGGAACAAGATGGAGTTTACTCTGTTTATTGCAAGAGAGGAAGACGTGGACCAATGGAAGATCGGTACTACGCGGCGGTTGATCCCGACGAAAGAGTACGTAAAAAGGCTTTCTTCGGCGTTTTCGACGGCCACGGCGGGTCCAAAGCGGCGGAGTTCGCGGCCAAGAATCTTGCTAACAATATTGAGGAGGCTATGGCGGCAGGTTGCTCCGTTGAGAGAGCGATAAGAGAGGGTTACGTAAAAACTGATGAGGACTTCTTGAAAGAAGGCTCGAGAGGCGGCGCGTGTTGTGTAACCGCTATTATATCGGAAGGTGAGCTTGCGGTTTCGAATGCCGGAGATTGTCGGGCGGTTATAAGCCGCGGTGGAGTTGCGGAAGCTCTTACTACCGATCATAATCCTGGTCAAGCAGATGAGCTCAAAAGGATTGAAGCATTGGTGAGTTTTATCATTCTCTATATTGATGGAAGAAAATATTTGTGAAATTTGATTTGAACTATTATTCTTTTCGATTTGATTTCAGAAAATCTGAATTCTAAATTTTTTTAAAGACTAAGACTTTATTATATACAAAGTACAAACATAGCAAATCAAATATATCAATTTTTAAAAAATTGATATTCGCTCCATTTGATATATGCATTTATAAAAATTAATATTAATATATATATAGAAAACATATAGTTTTCGTTTTTATCTTTACAAATTTTCGAATCCATTAAAAGATGTGCTTGGTTAAGATTTGCAAACTTGCAAAAACACTATACCATTCCGCAACTCAAATCAAATATGTATTAGTCCGGTTTTGTTTGATTGGGTTTGGATCATTTCATTTTTGTGCAGGGTGGATATGTTGATTGCTGCAACGGCGTGTGGAGAATTCAAGGAACATTAGCCGTCTCACGAGGAATTGGAGACCGGTATCTCAAAGAATGGGTAATAGCTGAACCGGAAACAATAACATTACGGATTACACCGGAATTTGAGTTCTTGATCTTAGCATCTGACGGCCTTTGGGATAAGGTAAGGCATAGCTCAAAATGTCTCAAAACTGATTCCTTTTGTAGTCTATATATGGTGTGTGTGAATGTTGAACTGGATTTTCTGCGGTATAGGTAACGAATCAGGAGGCGGTTGATGTGGTTCGACCGTACTGTGTAGGCGTGGAGAATCCAAATACACTCTCCGCCTGTAAGAAACTAGTCGAGCTATCGTGTAAGAGAGGATCGTTGGATGATATTAGTCTAATTATAATTCAGCTGCAACAGTTTCTAGCGTGATTCATTAACATCTAGTATTAAGCTAAACTTGGTTTGGCAAAAAAAGAAGCTAAACTTGATTAAAATCATTAGGTAAGTTCTTGAAAATTTTGTTTCGTATTAACATGTAGATATAATTAAGTTCCAAGCATTATCAACTAATATTATTATTTTGGGGCATCTAGATCCATGTGTCTTTAGCATGATATAAGTTACATACCTATATTTGGATTGGGTATTTATAAAATGGAAATAATATCTAGTTATGATGAAAAGTGCACCAACTAACCATTTTGATTCTTGACAATTTGAAACGAGTCAGTGATCCGTTCCATGAATTATAGTAGGGCTGAACAAAAAATATGAATTTGAAGAACCAAACTGAATCTAATCTGAAAAACTAGTACCGAATTTGAACCGAAACTGATTAAAGATCTGAATGTGTTCAAAAGTTTGATATCTAAAAAACCAAAACCGAACTCAAGCCAAACCAAAATATTTTGGATACCCGAATATATCAGAAACATATTTATATGCCTAAATATATTAATTATATTTAGATTTAATGTATTTAAAAAAATATCCAAAATATATAAGATACTTTTAAAAATATTAAAATATACTCAAAACACCAAAATATTTGAAATATCTATTGGTTTTCTATGGAAATATTGAAATCAAACCAATTTACACGTTAAGTTTAGATACTTTGACATATGTTATTCATATTTATATGTCATATATTATGTTGTTTATAGATTTGGAGAAATTAAAAATATATAATGAATTTTAAAATTTTGAAAATAATTTAAATGTGCTATGTGAACCCGAACCGAACCAGTAAAGATCCTAACAAAACTTGAACTGAAATTTAAAAATATCCGAATGGAGTTGAAATCTTTAACCCAGAAAACCTGAAACTCGAATAAATCCAAACCGAATCCGAATGGGGATCCGAACGCCCACCCTTAAATTATTCTTTTACTATTATATCTTATTTATTAAAACAGAAGTCATGACTTCTTTCATGTGTGATATTTCATTTTGTCATCTCTTAAAAATCATCACATTTAATTATCCTATCATTTAGTTGTTATAATAAATATAATCACAAATATTTCTTATTAATATCTTAATAAACCAACAATATACTATATTTAAAGAGAATCAAAAAATTGTTTACTATTCTAAAATAAAAAATCTGTATTGAAGACCAATTAATTAAATATACCAACTGATTATGAAAAATATTTAACCTATTAATCTAATAATCAACATATATAATTATTTTGTAGACCATTAACTATTTTGTAGGTATGTCATTAACAAAAAAATATATGTTATGCAATCATAATATATAATTATATATATATATATATATATATGATCATGTATATTATTTTTAGTATTATGTTATGCAACCATAACATATGATTAATGTTATTATTTTAACGATGTCAAGAAATATCACAATATGTGATTGCTCTTTAATATCATTAACATTTTTTGATAAAATTAATACCATTCTAAAACATATAATAGAATTCGTTATGATCATATAACTAAATTAAATATATATATATATAATAATAATATATATTTAATATCATTCTTTAGAGTGTTGTTTAAACGTTAAACAAAAATTGAAAAATAATTTGACATATAAATTAATTGCAATCAATATAATAGAAAAAAATATAACATATTTTTCAGTGAAACAATGTATTTACAGATATAGACGTACTAATATATATAATCAACTAAATTAACTATTTTTATTTTTCATATTTTGAAATTTGATTTGTTCAGAAAAATTAAAGAAAAAAAATTAATTTTCTATTTTATCTAACAAGAAACATCATTAACTATTAACGTAATCATAATTCATAAATAAAAACATTAACGAGAAAATAGAAAAAGTTATATAAAAAGAAAAAATGAATAAATTTGCATTAAAAATTGAAAATGTCATCTAATTTAAATTGAAAATAATTCTCTAAAATGTCATATATTAAAAACAAAGTGAATATATCAATATCATTAAAAGAGGATCCTTCCCTTTAATGAGTTTTTTACATTTTCCAAAATTATCCTTAATGATATGAATAAATTTTATTTTCATTAATGGCAATATAGTCTTTTGATTTTTGGGCCTAAAAACAATATAATAATGAGTTTCATTAATGGGCTCCTTCTAATTATTTATGAAGTTTTTTACAAAAATAAACATATCAGTCTTAATTTGCGTAGTTAGAGTTTAGAATTTTGATATTAGCACGCAGGTTGACCCTCCACGGAACATGTAGATCGATTTGAAAAATTTAAGTTGCGGATGCGGGTGCGGGTCAAGTGTATTTTACACGGAATGGATGAAGATTTTTCTAATTTCAATTGCGGGTACCCGGTAATCCGCAAAAATTGATTTTTTTAAGTTGATTTTTCAAAAATATACTAAATTTCTGTAAAAATAATTATATTTTTTAAGTATTAAAAATTTAATTAAAAATACACTATTTAATATTATTTTTTATAAAAATTTGAATTTTTTTATTATTTAATAATTATCTAGTGGTCTCGCAGATTACCCGTAAAATTAAGTGGGACAGATGCGGATAAAATATATTTTCTTTGCGGGTAAGGCGGGTCGGGTGGGGCGAGTTTGACCTCTTTCCTAGCACCAAACGTAGTTAATTGATATTATTTTTCCAAAATAAAACTACACAACTACATATAATACATTTACATAGATATTGATGATAACAATAAATTAAAATTTGCATTAATTTTTAAAGTTATATTATATAGTGACATTTTATATCATCAAAGCAAAAGATTCTGTAGAAAAAATAACAAAAATGGTACCCGCGCTTTTTAAGCACGGGGAAAAAATCTAGTTGTACAATTAAAAACACTAAATTTTTTTATGCTTTGTATAAAATTATTAAATTACAAGCTACTTTTTTAAGATATCATTGTTTCACCATGTAAAACCGCAATATATAATTGTTTATACTTTCTCAATTCAATTTAAAAAACATCTGCACGATTGCGCGGATCAAAATCTAGTTGAGTAATTAAGTGACAAAAACGAGAGGATCAAATGATGAATTTATGATATTTAACAAAATTTTACTCTATATATACAAGAAAAAGGATTTAATTAGTATATATGTTAGGTAAACAGTAATTATCTAGTATCTATCAGTTTTTTTTTTGCTAATATTTGGTAGTATTTATCAGTTGTAACAACAATATCCCGTTACATTGTCGTTAGGGATAATTTGTGAAATGACTAAAATCTGAAATTAAATTAAAGAAATGACATTGATTTTGACGTTATTTGGTAAGTAACAATTAAGAGTGAAGGTAGCCGATTATACCCTTCAGGCATGTTAGTATCTGGTGTCATACAAAATACAGATGACGTCACCTACTTTATGTATGGACCACATCTCATTTTCACTATTCACAACTTACATAAGAAATAAGACACGTCACATTCATTTTTACCACATATGATTTAATGTGTAAATAAAGTGATTGTATGTATAAATGATTTTAGTATACGAACATATAAAAGAGAAATGAATCCATGTTATACTATATGGATAAATGTAACCCCTACTATTAAATATGGATAGTATAGTATACGTCGAGCTATTATTCTATATGAAAATTATTAGTTGAGCTGCTATTCTATTTGCTAAGAATACATTTGTCATTCCCATACATTGTATAGTAGATTGGATAAGACTTCTCTAACCTCATCCCACCCTCTAATAACTAAACCCTAAACCTAAATCTCAATTACTAAATCCTAAACCCAAATATAAACCTAACCTAAATATAAAAATTATAATATTTTGTAATATCAAATTATACTATATAACTACATATTATGGAATGGACTTAACGAAAAATTGGTAAGAATGCATTTTCATTCCATACGTGTCGTAGTCGACTGGATAAGGTTACTTTAACCTCATCCCATGTTCTAATAACTAAACACTAAATCTCAATCACTAAACCTACCCCAAAAATATAAACCATAAACCCAAATAGCAATAACATAATATTTTGTAATATTAAACTATATTTTACTAATATACTGTACAAAATAGAATTAACTACAAATTGCTAAGAATGCTTTTTGTCGACTACTCAAATTTAACGAGGAGAACCCAATGGCGACGATGCAAAAGAGGCATATGTAGGTTTATTATATGAGCCATGTTATTCACGTCTATGTTATGAACCTACATAGTTTGAATACTTTTTGTTAAGTTCACACGCCGAAATTAAACTGTAATTTATAGCATGAGTCACAAAATAATACAAAATACTGTCGAATAATAGTTTTAAAGGATAGTAGCTGAGTTAAGTTTAAAACACACAATGTCAAATGTGAAATATAAAACAACATACAAAGCATATAGGCACACATGGGTTACTCTTCCTTGGTTGGGGAACCAGCTTTACACATATTCAGACTTGCATTGGCATAATTCTCCGTTCTTCAGTTAAAGCTAAACCATTCCACTCCTTTTCCAGCAACGTGCAGTTCTAACAGAATAAAGGCCGCTACTGCCTAGTATCCTATAAACATCTGTATCAAGTTAGTTGTATAAGATCCAGTCATCAAAAACGACAGAATAGTGAAAATTTTATTATAGAAAGTGATATAAGTAATAAAATATACTCTTATTAATTAGATTCTATAGTGAAGGCTAAAATGTGTAATGTCTATGCTACTTGAATTCATGGCAGTGGAAACAAGGCTATTCCGTATGAAAATATTCATAAACAAGTCTATTCCGTGTGTACAGACAAAGATAGTCTATTCTACTTAGAACAGAATGGAAAACAACAGACTATTTCCGTATATTTAAATACATTTCTTAAATAGAATAGAAATAAACAATGGAGTGGACTTGTAAATTAGATAACAAGGAACCTGAGAATCACAACAAACGATACATATATACATGCTTCGGATTCATATTATTTGATTACAGTTTATACTATTTATGGGTCTCCTATATGTCAAAATAAATATTGGCTACTATATTTACAAGTAAAATCAAGATAGCATAGCCATAAAATAACATGAAGATGTAATAGAAG